CTACGACTAAGGTGTTGATGTGATCTCCTAGAAGCTATTTCCTATATACTTGAAGCTGATATATGTTTTTACCCTATTGAGCGCCTTCTCGCAATTATTTCTCTACCACTTTCTTTTTACAGATAGTTTTTCCAATGGTCTGTAGTTATTATAGTCTGATTTGCCACAACTTTTGTGTTTAGGTTTGATTAGGGATTTCTTAATTAAAACACGAATGCTATCGTACACATGTTTTGTGATGATATGTGTTAGCACGTTTGCATTATAATTTAGGTCTATGCGCCTTAAGGTACGGTCACACTGGGCAAATATTTGATCGAAATTTGTTTTCCCATATTTGACTGAACAAATGTGAAATTCATACAGAGTTGATTCGATGTTCACATTACAGTCAAATATTTGACAGATTTTGTTTGTTCAAACAGTCACCAAATAGCGTCAAATAGTGCTATGGGGAAACATGTTTGACACATGTTCACATTCGTAAAATATATTTTCCCAATAAATTGTTTGATCAAACTGTGAGGAAACATATATTTATTTGGCCGAGAGAAATAGACAGAGAGAGTGAAAGAGAGACATAAAGAAAATGGAGTTTCGGGTATAATTTATTTGGAGAAGGGAAGCAAATGACCAGCTGTTGTGGAATAAATTCCTTGTCAGAACATTTTTTTTTTTTTTGCATATTTGTATGTTTGTATCACGGTAGAAGAATACTGGTAGTCGCATCGACATAGCTGGTGGGACAATGAACTGACAAAACAATAATGAATGAAATATTATTGAAATTTGTAAAAATTGTTGAAAAATACATATCATTACGTAAAAGAAAACATAGAAAAATCTTCTTATTTTTGTCAAATCATTTCAAAATGTTTGACATATCAATGTTTCAAGCGTTGATGCATTTACCTATATCCTATTCCTGAACCTGCAACAATCTACTAGTTTGTCAATTTTCTTCCATATAAAAAAGGGAAAATCGGTAATCGTAGTAAAAACTTTAACATCTTGCAGTTCTGGAACAGACCATTTATTAAATTTTTACTAAACATTAAAATTCGTTTGCTTTTCTATTCATTAAACATTTTTTTTATTTTTCGATTTACTCCCTCTCGTTGCCGTAGTGATAATGCAAAGCTAACCATATATTGTTAGGGATTGCCCTTTATTAAGTCAATATTTATATCGCCCGTTATAACTAGTTTTTGTTTTATGCTGGCAATAATATTTTCTATTTCCGTTAAAAATATTTAAATATTTATGTTTGGTGGTTCTTAAATAACTACGATTATGTTTTCTGGTTTTTTGACGGTTATATTTTTATTTAAATTATTTCGGCAGATGACAATTAAGTTTCTACTACATCAAATTGTAGTTCATTTCAAATGAAGACTGCTGGACATCCACACTTGCCATGTCCGTTCCGTTAAAGCCACTTATATGATAAAATGTGTTTTTATCGTATGTTATTTTTGTTTCACACTATATAATAATATATTTTTTTGATGTATAATTTTTGGTAAACTGGCTATGAAAGAAAAAAATCCTTAAGGATCTAATATTAAGGTGATTCCCTAGTATACATAGAAGTTTCTGTTATATACTCGACCTATTTGGTTGTTCAATTTTCACTCTGTTTTTTATCTTATCCATAATCTCTCTTTTCTTTTTATTTTGTAAACTCTCTCAAATTTTATTTTATTTCCATCCCTGCTCTTTCGCATATAATGTTCATTACTTAAATAATTTACATGTTTGCGTCGCTCAAATTGCCTATTTCAATATTTTTATACCCTCCACCATACTATGGAGGGTATATTAATTTTGTCATTCCGTTTGTAACTCCTCGAAATACTCATGCCAGACCCAACAAAGTATATATATTTTTGATCAGCGTAAAATTCTAAGACGGCATTGTCATGTCCGTCTGTCTGTCTGTTGTAATCACGCTATCTTTCGAACAAATTGAGATAGAAGGCTAAAATTTTGCAAACATGTATATTTTGCCAGTAGGCAGGTTAATTTCATAAATGGGCCATCTAGGTCGAAGTTATCATATAGCCCCCATATAACGGTACCTCCCGATATTCGGTATTTCGATGATTTTAGCGACATTATTCACCGGAATTGTTTCAAATTTGGCATTTGAAGTTGGTAATGGATAATACAGCCTAAGACAGAAAATTATCTGTGTAGGTCCACGTCTTCATGTAGCCCCCATATACCGTACCCCCGATATTCGATATTTTGATGATTTTAGCGACATTATTTACCGAGATTGTTTCAAATTTCGCATGTGAAGTTCGTAATAAATACTTCATCCCATGCCAGAAAATTCTCTGTGCAGGTCCACGTCTTCGTATAGCTCCCATATAACGGTACCCCGCCATATTCGGTATTTTGATGATTTTAGCTACATTATAAACAGATTTTTCTTCAAGTTTCGCACTTAAATATTGTAATAATTTATGACAAAAGTTGCCTATGCAAGTCTACGTCGTCGTATAAGCATTCGGCATTTTTTAGATTTTAACAGAATTTTTAACGGATTTTACTTTTTTTTGGAAATTGCCAAATTTGTATCAAATGGTGGAGGGTATTAAAAGTTCGGCCCGACTGAACTTACAGCTTTTTTATTGTTATTTATCGCTCTCTGTTACAATTTGTTGTTTGTTTTTTATACCCTCCACCATACTATGGATGGTATATTAACTTTGTCATTCCGTTTGTTACTCCTCGAAATACTCATGTCAGACCCAAAAAAGTATATATATTCTTGATCAGCGTAAAATTCTGAGTCGATTTAGCCATGTGCGTCTGTCTGTCTGTTGTAATCACGCTATCTTTCAAACGAATTGAGATAGAAGGCTAAAATTTTGCACGCGTGTTTATTTATAACGGTACTTCCCGATATTCGGTATTTTGATGATTATAGCGAAATTATTCACCGGAATTGTTTCAACATTGATATTTAAAGTTCGAAATGGATACTACAGCCTATGACAGAAAATTATCTGTGCAGGTCCACGTCTTCGTATAGCCCTCATATGACGGTACCTCCTGATATTCTATATTTTGATGATATTAGCGACATTATTCCCCGTTTATTTCAAGTTCCGAATTTGAATTTGGTAATAACTTATGACAAACATTGCCTGTGTGGGTCAGCGTCGTATAAACACCAATATAATGGCTATATTCGGTATTTTTAAATTTTTAACAATTTTGTTTCAGGATTTTATTTCCAAATTCGTTCCAAATGGTGGAGGGCCGAACTTACTGCTTTTTAACTAGTTTTTATCTTCGTTTCATCACAATTTATCAGAAAATACGCGATATTCGGTGACATCGTTCTTGGATTGCATAAATGACAATTCCAATCCGCTTTCTTCTGCTGTCCCATGTTCTAACTCTCTGATAGAGAGTAACATGGACTGATGTCGAATTGACGGTTGCACTGTAAACAGCGAACAAAGTTGCTGCATTGACTACAAACATTAGTTGTGTTCCAGTACTTTTTAGTAGTAAAACTAGCAGTGTGCTCAAAATAAAAGGGAACGGATAATTAGCAGAAATGCGATAAAATGTCAACATTCAAAATTCCAAAAGAATACAGTCTAAGTCCAACTGGTGAAACCTTACTGAAATGGACACCAAAATTTAAAAAAATGAGTATTGAAAATAAGTTAGCATTAATAGTTATTTTCGAATGCTGTTTATTTAGAAAGTTTTGTTTTCAGAATGCGTTGAAGAGTATTTAGAGGTGGAGTTTTCTCAAACCCCAACCCCGGAGAAGCTGACATGGCTGGAGGCGCCGGTTAAATTAATGTTAAGTCTGCTAGAAAACTTAATGCCACAAGTTGGGAAGACAGACAACCTAAAAAATAAAAAGAAAATGTTCGCAGTAATAATCAAACATCTTTGATTTTAAGCTTCTGCTCGGCCAAATTCACGTAGCTAAAAATTGTGTTCCAGTACTTTTATAGTAGTAAAACTAGCAGAAGAGAGAACAGTTCGAAATATCATTCTCATTTAGGTTTGCTCAAAAAATAAGGGAACTGAAAATTAGCAGAAAGGCGATAAAATGTCAAAATTCCAAAAGTAAACAGCCTAAATCGGACTGATGAAACCTTACAGAAAAGAGCGCCAACATTTAAAAAATGAGTATTGAAGACGATATGTTAAAATAAATAATTTATAATAATAATTAATAATCTGATTCCTCATTCAGCCAGTCCTCTTCACTGCTGGAATCATCCAAAATTGAATACATCAGTTGCTCCATATTTTCTCTTTTTGTTTTTTGCACGACAAATATTAGTTTTTCCTTTAGTTTTCAAGTTGATCATTTTCTATATTGAAATGTATCAATACATTTTTCAACCTTGTTAGCCCTGCCAATTAAATGTCAAATTTACAATATGCACATTTCTGCTCGGCCAAATTCATGTAGCTAAAACAAGCAGAAATGTGCATCACTCAGCGCCATTTTTTTCTCGAGAGGGCTGCAAGTTTTGCTAGTTTTTGAAGTACGGGAATGCGTTGTAGCAGAATTAGCACTAATTAGTACAAACTATTGTTTAAAACTTGCCTTCAATTCAATTGTGATATTTTTCACTTTAGGTTTGGTTATCTTACAGTATAATTAAAACAAGTTATTTCCAAATGCACAGCCTTTGTTGCTAAACCGACAATATTCCTAATGGTCCATGTACATCATACATCCTGACAGGATCCGGTTTATAGATTTGAAATCTACAGGATTATCCACTGTCACCACACGTCGATATTGAGTACAAAGCGATCTACATTGTATATTTTAAACTGCACCCCTCAGCGCCATTTTTTTTTCTCGAGAGAGCTGCAAGTTTTGCTAGTTTTTGAAGTACGGGAATGCGTTGTAGCAGAATTAGTACTAACTATTGTTTGAAACTTGCCTTCACTTCAATTGTGATCTTTTTCACTTTAGGTTTGGTTATCTTACAGTATAATTAAAACAAGCTGTTCATAAAACTATGAACATGAAAGACTGCTGCAATAAATTAGATCGTTAAGTGATTTAGGCTATAAAATGTTTATGTAATTTTAACCCAACATTCTAGAGTACTTGTAAATGTGTGTGCATGAAAGATAAGAGCATAAGGGATGATAACACTTCATGCTGCTGGAGACGCATTGATAATAAAGAATATTCTCCCATAAACATGCGCTCAGCTGGGGAGTAAATATAGATCACAGCAATTGTGTGTTGCATTAGGCCTATGCATAGAATTAGAAATGTCAAGTGTTTGTAGCCTTAAGTAGATGCATAAGATTAAACCCCCCTAAGATTTCTGTTGTGTACTAGCACTTAAGTAATACATTTTGTTCAATAAAATTAGAATTAAACTGACAAACGAACAAACAAGTTCTAGAATTTGATTCTCCCGCTAACATTGGTCCTTCGACAAAAAAAAAACCAGCGGCCACAAAAATATATTTCAAAAAAAAAAGAGAATTATATTTTTGTAAAAAAAAAAAAACAAAACAGAAAAAAAAGCCATAGGGGCAAAACAAAAAAAGCCATAGGGGCAAATAAAAAACAAAAAAAAAAGCCATAGGGGCAAAACAAAAAAAAGCCATAGGGGCAAATAAAAAACAAAAAAAAAAAAAAAGCCATAGGGGCAAAGAAAAAACAAAAAAAGCCATAGGGGCAAAGAAAAAATCAAAAAAAGCCATAGGGGCAACAAAAGCAAAAAAATAAAACAGAATAATTTTGAAAAAAGCCACAGGGGCATTAAAAGAAAAGAAGCTAAAACTACAAATTTTACTTGCTTCACAAAACAAGGAAAAATGGCGTCGAGACATAACTTGTATAAGCTCCAAAGCCTACTCCTTAAAGAAGTAATTGGGATTAAGGAAAAACTGCAAGCAGGCATGGTTCGGAAAGCAGCCATGGGTGACACACTACGATCCCTGGAAAGCAAAATGAAGGAAGCCACTACGAACCACGAAATGCTGAGAGTGCATGGCGAAAACACTGATCCCTATTTCAAAGAAAATGTTTGGGATCTCATCAACTTGAACTATGGAAAAGCAAAGGAACTCCTAGCGAGTTTGGAAGAAGAGGTCGAGCGAGAACCGCAAAGGGTAATAAAAGAAGCAGAGCCCGAAGTACATGGGCTAATGCTCGATCAACAGTTAAAGGCCTTCCAAGAGGAAATGCAACAACAGATGCAACAACAAATGCAACAATTTATGTTGATGTTCGAGAAGAATAAAAGAGAAAATGAGGAAGAAAGACAAACCCATATAGAATCATCACCAATGGGCAATCAGGCGAATATAAAAGTAAGCGCAATCATCTACCAATTCAGGAAAAAAGTAAACAAACTCGCCGATGCCGTTGAATGCGATTTAGCTGGACTATCAAAATATGCTTTGGAGTACATGAAGTCATCGTGGGAGAAGCATATGGATGAAATTAGGAAATTGCATCTCGAGCTCTCAACGGTGCATGGAATGGAAGAGGTAGATCTCGAATTTGAAGAAATTGAAGAAAAGTTTGAGAGCAAAATGCAGGATATGATAAGAAGGATAGATGGTCTTAAAGAGGAGTCACTGGAAGTAGAACTAAAAAGAGTTCAAATACCATCCTTTAGTGGTCATGTGGAAGAGTGGAGTTCATTTCACGATTTATTTAAAAAGATGATTGATGAAAACTCCAAATTATCAAAAGTTCAAAAACTGTACTACCTCAAGACAAATCTAAAAGGAGAGGCATTTCGCTTGGTGCAACATCTTCAAGTGACCGAGGCAAATTATGAAGCAGCATGGGAATTACTGGAAAAAAGATATGGCAACAGGAGAATTTTATTCACTAAATTGGTAGATAGAATACTGGACCATCAAAACATCAACAGCCTGTCAGCAATAAGCATAAGAAATTTGCTGGACAATGTAAATGAAAGTATTCAGGCGTTGAAAGCAATGGATATTCCCCTAGAGCAAGCGGATCCCATTTTAGCCCGAATAATTATACGGAAACTGGATAAGGATGGGCTTATTCTTTATGAGCAGAATGTAAAGAAATCCAAGGACATCCAAAAACTTGAGGATGTGATGGACTTCCTGGAGCAGCAGTTTCAAGCCTTGGAAGCTTCAGTAGGCAGAAAACACAATAACATAGGACTGTACAAACTCCAAGAAAAATCAGCAGTGGTAGCGGAATTTAAACAATGTAAGTTCTGTAAAATGAGCGGACATGATATCGCATGGTGCAGAAAATTTTCGGCGTTATCTTCGAATGAAAGATACAATTGGGCAAGATCAGCACAGGTCTGCCTCAGATGCTTAAGCCACAACAAGGATAAAAAATGTTACAATGAAATTAAATGCCAGAAGTGTGGAATGAATCACATCACAGTGATGCATTTAGAGCGAAGAGGACATACGAAAGCAATGACCACCAATACAACAACAAATGTTCTGCTAGCAACAGCCCAAGTTCGTATAAAATCACTGCATGGAGAATTTGTAACAGTCAAAGCGCTGATAGACCAAGGATCACAAATTACATCCATATCAGAGGACGCGGCTCAACTGTTGCAGCTACCAAGGAAGAAGACAGAAGTGAGGTTACAAGGTCTAGGAGAGACCCTAGTTGGCGTGGCGAAATCTAAAGTTGCACTGGAACTACGACCCAGATTTTTGAGCAACATAATGATTAAGGCAGAAGCACTAGTCCTTCCAGCACTTGCATCAGCACATCCCGACAGAAGGTTTCAATATGACGTGGATAAATGGAGAAATGTAAATTTGGCAGATCCAAATTTCAACAGCCCGGAAAGAATCGATTTAGTCATTGGAGCCGATCTTTACTCACAAATATTGGAAGAAGGAGTTCGCCACGATGAGCAAATTGTGGGACAAAATACGAAGTTGGGTTGGATTTTATCTGGAACAGTAGTAGTAAATCCTGGATTGAACATAAAGAAATCGGCAGCAACAACAACAATTGAGAGGTTCTGGGAAATAGAGGAAATAGAAGATGAAAAAACGACCGAAGAAGACGAATACTGCCTTAAGTTATATGAAGACACAACACGCCGAGACAATTCAGGAAGATTTGTCGTGCGTTTGCCGTTAATTGAAGAAAAAGATTTGGGAGATTCATATAAAAGAGCCATGGCGAGGTTTATAAACTTGGAAAAAAGATTAGAAAATAATGCGGAATTAAAGTCAGAGTACGAGAAAACAATGAACGAGCTCATATCCATGGGCCAAATGGTAAAGGTGGATCCAAGTAAGAAGGCTTTGTATTATATGCCGCACCAAGCAGTGGTACGTGAAACAAGTCTAACCACAAAAGTTAGAGTGGTATTTGATGCTTCATCGACAACTTCAAATGGGAAGTCGCTGAATGACATACTTCACGTGGGACCAAGGCTTCAAAAAGATATATTTGACATTGTAACAAAGTGGAGATCGTGGAAGTTTGTCATCTCAGCTGATGTGGAGAAAATGTTTCGTCAGATTAAAGTTGAAAAAGAAGACCAGGAATACCAACATGTGTTGTGGAGGAGTAATCCGTCGGAGCCTATCCAACAATATAAACTTACTACGGTAACATATGGCACTGCATCAGCACCATTTCTGGCTGTAAGATCGCTCATAGAAATTGGAAATAGGTGCCAGAATCAAGAAATCGCTCAGAGGATCAAAGAAGATTTCTACATGGACGACCTTTTAACAGGAGCGAATACAAAACAAGAATGCAGGGAGGTGCAGAAGAAGATAACGCTGCAACTGGAGGATTATGGGTTTCATTTAAGAAAATGGATATCAAACTCTCCTGAAGTATTGAGTGCGGTGAAATTGAATGAAGAAAATGAAGTGCTGAGAATAGAAGAAGATGAATGCTTGAAAACATTGGGATTACAATGGAATCCACAGATCGATTGCTTTACATTTAGTATGCAAATTAAAAAAGAAGACAAGTTGACAAAACGAATAGCATTGTCAAGACTGGCACAAATATTCGATCCATTAGGTTGGCTGACGCCAGTCACGGTAACAGCAAAACTATTTATACAGCAGTTATGGATACAACAAATAGAATGGGATGTGCCATTGGAGGAGAAATTGAGTGGAGATTGGCGGCAGTTTACATACAGTCTGCCTGCTTTAGAAAATTTAAGGATTCCAAGATGGTTTGGAATATTGGAAGACAAAACTGCACAGTTACATGGGTTTGCAGATGCTTCCGAGAAGGCTTATGCAGCAGTCGTATACCTTAAGGTAAATTCGCAGGTGACCATAGTGGCTGCAAAAAGTAAGGTAAATCCAGTAAAAAATAGGAAGACGCTTCCAAAGCTGGAACTTTGTGCAACACATCTATTGGCTAAACTACTACAGAAGATCAAAGGAGTATTGAAGTCAGCAACACCAACTTTTGCTTGGAGTGATTCCATGATTTCCTTGGCATGGATTCACAACTCCAAAAACAAGGATAAGTTCATAAAAACAAGGGTGATGGATATTTTGGAGAGAATACCCGAAGCGAAATGGGGCTACGTCAAGTCAAAGGAGAATCCAGCAGATATGGGTTCAAGGGGTGTCCCACCGGAGACTTTGACAAACAATACATTGTGGTGGGAAGGCCCCGAATGGCTGAAAAAAGATGAACAAGATTGGCCAAAAAGCAACATAAATCAAACAGTAGCAACAACAGTAAAGTTTTCGACTGAAAACCACTTATATGAAAGTATGATGAAGTATTCGTCATTTAAGAAACAGATACGTGTAATGGCTTATCTACTGCGTTTTATAAAAGGGCTAAAAAAGAAGCGAGCAGTAAATGAGCATTTGACGGCAAAAGAGTTGGAAGAAGCAGAGATGGAGATAATAAAACTACATCAAGAAAGAGAATGGCCAGTGGAACTAAGGAAATTGAAGACATTGGGAACGGTGGATCATCAAAGTAAAATAGCTTCACTACATCCACAGTTGGATCGAAATGGCATAATGCGGGTTGGTGGAAGACTTGCTTTGTCAGAGCTGAACTATAACCAAAAGCATCCAATAATTATTCAAAAGTCAAGATTAGCGGGAAATATCATTCGAAATTGTCATATTCAAACGATGCATGGAGGAAATCGACTTATGGAAAATATACTAAGACGAAAATATTGGATTATTGGAGCTAAAAATAGGATAAAACTTTGCATTAGGTGTTGTCCAAGATGTACGCGCTTTAGAGGTGAAGTGCGAAATCAATTGATGGGAAATTTACCAGCTTACCGTGTCAGTATAAATCAACCCTTTCAACACTGTGGCATTGATTATGCGGGTCCGCTACAAATACGGTGCTCCAAAACAAGAGGAGTGAAGGCTATGAAGGGTTACGTAGCGGTGTTCGTATGCATGGTAACTAAGGCGGTTCATTTGGAAGCTGTCAGCGAACTTACAACGGAAGCATTTCTGGCGGCGCTAAGGCGATTTTTCGCGAGAAGAGGAAAATCAACCGACTTATATTCAGACAACGGAACGAACTTCGTAGGGGCAGCAAGGCAGCTCGACAGAGACTTTTTGGATGCCGTTAAAAACAACACGAAGTTAGCTCCCATTTTGGAAAATGAAAAAATAAGTTGGCATTTCATTCCGCCGGCAGCTCCTCACGTTGGAGGAATTTGGGAAGCAGCAGTGAAGTCCATGAAATATCACCTAAAAAGAATAATTGGTGATACGAAATTGACTTACGAGGAGTTGAGTACGGTGCTATCTCAGATTGAAGCAGTATTAAATTCGAGGCCGCTACATGAACTTGGAAGCGGTACAGAATATATTGACACTTTAACACCTGGACATTTCTTAATTGGCCGTCCGATGTTAGAATCACCGGCGACTATCGATGAAGGTAACTTAGGATGTCTTAATAGATGGAAACTGCTACAACGAATTAAAAGTCATTTTTGGAGCAGATGGAAAGAGGAGTATCTAACCACATTACAAAACCGAATGAAATGGAAGAAACAAAATAATAATGTGGAAATAGGCAATGTGGTGATATTGAAAAACGAAGAAACGCACGCGGCGCGATGGCCACTGGCCAAGGTGGTAGAAGTCCATCCAGGGAAGGACGGAGTTGTAAGGATTGTGACAGTTAAAACACAAGACGGCGTGATAAAGAGGCCAATTAACAAATTATGTCCATTGGAGCATATGGACGAGGAATCTGAAGAATTGCCCAGACAGGAAAAACAGGCGGAAATTACACATACTAATATGACAAGATGTGAGCGAAAAATAAGGAAACAACCAATAACGTGGGCAATGATGCTGAACTTATTTTTACTAATATCTACCAAGGCATCATCTGTACATGAACTGAATAGTTCGGCTGCGGTATATTTGGATCCCATGTCTCAAATTCACATGGTTTCCTCATCATGGAATATGGTTGTGTACTTTGAGCTGAAACCATATTTAGAAACATTAGACCTGGCTTCCGAATTGCTGAAAACATCAAAAAGCTTATGCCCACGACTTCAAACTTTTGAGGAGCAGTGTTGGTCCACGATTAACAATATGGAACTCAAGATTAATAAGATAAAGACCAACAATCGATTATTCCTCAGAGAAGACAATCGTCAAAAAAGAGGAGCTCCGTTGAAATTTGTAGGTTCGTTTCAACACTGGGCATTTGGGATAATGGACGATGACGATCGAGTAGCTATGGAGAGCAATATGAAAAATCTATTAGCCAACCAAAAGGATTTGAAGAAGTTAGCAAAACAACAGACATCTGTAGTCGACGCTACAGTAAATCTTTTAAGGAAAACCACAGAGGAAGAGAATTCGCACTTTTCGGATATCAAAGGCAAAATTGAGAACATAAGTGCTACAATGAATGAGAATTACTTCGTGTATAGAGAATCCATACGATTCTTTATAATAGCAAAACAAATTCATGAGCTTTTGGAAGAATGTGACGAAGTCCAAAAAGAAGTTGTTGATGCATTAATTGATGTAAACAGCGGTAAGTTTCATCCCGTCCTGATAACACCCAAACAATTACAAGCAGAGATAGTAAAAATACGAGATGCTCTGCCTGAAAAATATGTACTGCCAGGAAAGCGTACAGGAATGGAATTAAAAGAGATCTTACATTTGATGACGTGCCACGGATCGTTTGTGGGGTCCCAACTGGTAATTAATATAAAAATACCGCTGTTCAATCGGCAGTCATCCCAGTTTTACAAAGTAATTCCGATACCATTTGAAGAAGGAAATACGATATTGATAGCCCGGGTGAATTCCCCGTACATTGTATATAATTTTGAGCTGGATTCTTTTCATTTCTTAACACAGCCTATGCTGAATGAGTGCAAAGAGACGTTGGGTAAGGAGATAATGTGCGAAGAGAATTTTCCATGGAGAGATGCAACTACAAATAATTGTGAATTATCTCCTCTGAGACCGCACATAAAACTAAACTGCGCCTATGACGAAGTGGAACGAATGCCTTATTGGATGCCATTGAAACGAAATGGCAATTGGCTTTTTAAAACCTTTTCAAGTACAACAGCTCATTTGCAATGCTCTCACAAACAACAGACGATTATGGAACTTCCAAAGCAAGGAATTCTCACGCTGGATGCAGACTGTACAGCGAGGATCGGTAAAGTAACGTTGGTAGCTGTGCATAGAGTTCATAACGAGATAAACACAGAATTCCATTCGTTTCTTTTGAAGGATGTAAGTCCGGACGAAAAAGAATCAATCAAACCCCTTGGAAATATACTTATCAATCATCATCAAGAAATTGACGAGCTAAAGAAATTCGTGGACAAGTTAAAGAAAGAAAATGTGGAATTGCGAGGCTTGAAGTTCCATCACATCTCATCACACGTAGCTTTTATTTTAGTAATTATAGTAATAATAATTCTAATTATTTTATTTATAAGAAGACAGAAAAAATTAAAACGCATAACCGAAATTCAATTTCCCCGAGGCCAGGATGTCTAAATAAATTATTTGCCGCCCGGGAAAATGTTCATAAAACTATGAACATGAAAGACTGCTGCAATAAATTAGATCGTTAAGTGATTTAGGCTATAAAATGTTTATGTAATTTTAACCCAACATTCTAGAGTACTTGTAAATGTGTGTGCATGAAAGATAAGAGCATAAGGGATGATAACACTTCATGCTGCTGGAGACGCATTGATAATAAAGAATATTCTCCCATAAACATGCGCTCAGCTGGGGAGTAAATATAGATCACAGCAATTGTGTGTTGCATTAGGCCTATGCATAGAATTAGAAATGTCAAGTGTTTGTAGCCTTAAGTAGATGCATAAGATTAAACCCCCCTAAGATTTCTGTTGTGTACTAGCACTTAAGTAATACATTTTGTTCAATAAAATTAGAATTAAACTGACAAACGAACAAACAAGTTCTAGAATTTGATTCTCCCGCTAACACAAGCTATTTCCAAATGCACAGCCTTTGTTGCTAAACCGACAATATTCCTGATGGTCCATGTACATCATACATCCTGACAGGATCCTGTTTATAGATTTGAAATCTACAGGATGATCCACTGTCACCACACGTCGATATTGAGTACAAAGCGATCTACATTGTATATTTTAAACTGCGTTAGCAACGGACGTCTTCCTTGTTATGGTTCTGAATTAATTCAGTACGAAGTAATCTCTGAATCTGACAAATAAATAGTCCTTGGATCTTCGTAACCCAATTCGGCTTCTTTTAAGCAGTAAGTTTTTCTTTTAATTCAGTGGCACAAGGAGTCGGACTATATGCTTTCTGCCTGGCAGCATAGTTTGAAGGTACATCTGATGCGTCCTCAAATGTATGTACCTCAATTTCTGTTAGCTTAGAACAGCCCTCAAGGGTATTTTTGTATGTTCATATCTGCTAATTTTTCCAGACTTCTTGAGGCAAGATATGAGCTATTATTTGCGATACCGTTTGTCGAATAGAACTTGTCTATAAACACAAATCTCGGCAGTCTATCGTCAGGCATGTTGGGCAGGTTTAACATACTCTCCAGTGCAGTTGACACTTGAGCTTTCTTGTTGTCGTATCTGTCTTGGAATATCTTCCAAGCAATATTGTCAACTCGAGGTGCCTTATGATCTTCTCTGCATCCCCAGTCACGTTGGCATTGAGGTATCACATTTTCTGTACTAGTGACAAGGCCTGGTCTTTGGTCATTTTTTCAAAAATGTCAGCAAACATCTGCCACGTTTAATAACACCATTTAATCCCATTGCCAAGTTCCCGTCTAATCGCTGCTGAGACGATATTCCATCGACCTGTGTTAGCGTCAAAGTTTTTTACTTGAATATCAGCGTCACTTCTAAGGGAAATACATGCTGATGCATTGTAGCCACCAAAGTTTGGTCACAAAATTCTCATACATGCTGGAATGGATATCTTCCACGTGAGACCACAATTTCTTAATTGCAGCCACTGCCTGTCAGGGAGCAGCTTGTCCTGATATGTCCCTTATTAAAATTTGAATTGATTGCATTAAGACCCTCTGACGTCTCAATTATACAACCGCACTGCTGACTGCAGTATACTGGGTGAATTGCTTTCGTTGCTGAAAGCTGTTTCAGAGGCGTTTGCTCTTTGCCTTTTTATGTCTGCCTCGATGGTTTCGATTGTGTGATTTGGAATTTAAAAATTTTCAGTGAATCACTTGAAAGTGACTCTTGTCAGGATCACGTCTGGTTCACCAGAAAATGTATATCTTGATAATATTACATTTTCTTGCAATCCACAGTGGTCGCTGCCATTGGCCAAAATTCAAAAAATTATAATCAGATATTTATTGTCAAATGTGTACACATGAACTCTTAAGAGGTTAAGCTTTTTAGAAAACATAATAATCTTGGCTTCATTCTAACGGGACACTTCGAAAATAGCATCAAATAAGAGAAAATGTAGTGAGTTGCTTTTTTCAGTGGGATCAGTAAAAAAAAGAGTAAAAATAGATCTGTATTACAAAATTAAATACATTTTAAAATGACAATTCTTGGCATAATTACTGAAAAGCATGGTATTGACTTATTTTTAGTGCAGTAATTTGTGTGTTTAGTAGTTGTATATAATATAGACGATGTAAGTGTTTTGAGTTGCCTTTAAGATTAATTTTGAAAATAAAATTGGATTTCAGTTAAAGTTTTAATTGTTTTCCCCCCTGAATCCTCCAATGTGATTTTTTTCACGCCATTAGTAATGGTCCTAAGATTCAAGAAGTGCTAATTTAACTTTCAGATTTTGTCAGATTTGTATGTTATGCCCAATATACTAAAGTGACTTCGCTCCAATTTTGTCAGTTCTAAGGTGCTAGTGACATAGAATATGTTTTTGTTGTTTGGGATTGATAAGGATACATATAATGTTGCCTGCATTGTCTTCTGGGTATAATATTAATGTCCAAAAATTTAAGGCCTTTGCACTGTAAACGGCTAAAGAGTTAACAAATAGATATCCATGGCAATATCTTTCACCCACAGCTAATAAAATTTTAATACATATAAATTTGTCATTGTATCGATTGGAGAATTATAAGAGGTGGCCGTGGAGTCTAGAAACAAAGATATAAAAAAGTTTCGACTAAATCATACCCGAAAAAATTATTAATCGTCTTCTTCTGAGCTTTGACCCTTTTATAACGGGACAGCGAACGTTACCAATCAATAAAAAATCTATATTATTAAAATCTGCATTTGATTTACTTGAATAACACTAAAATTTATAAATATCCATTAGTAACTTTCATTTCATTTTATATTGAATTGTTTATTCTGTTTACAAAAAAAATTGTCTATTTTGTTTACAAAAACATAATCAAATTTGGAATTTTGATTTGTATAAATAATACTTCTATTTTTGGAGGTACCTTTACAGGGGGATTTGTATAAAAAATACTTCTATTTTTGGAGGTACCTTTAGAGGGGGACTCTACCTGAAGACGGGCCGTTCCAAATAATTTTCAGTAAGACTATTTTTTAGCTCTTTAGAACGTAAAATGTCAAATAACAGACCAATCTAGTGTAGAAATGTGACAAAAAATGGGCAAATAACCCTTATTCGGGAGGTACGTTGTAAGGGGACCATGCCAAAACATGCATCGACCATATCCATTTTATCACATTTTTAATTTTTATCCCAACAAGGTACCATAACCAAAGAATCATATTGATATCTGTACTAAAAGTATTTTTGGCCGCTGTTCCCATACGACCTCGACCACTGTGCAATCTAAAGGAATATTTATTTTGGCTTGGTATTTATACAAATTGTTTATCATTACAACTAGCACTAAATGGAGAGTAAGCAATAATTACTTCAGCCAATAACCAATCGTGCTTTATTTAGATTATTGGCCCGCTTAAAATAAACATGGAAACATTATGTTCAGTGATGTGCTGACATGAAATAGAATACTAGCGATTAATATCATAACATTGATGCACATAGATTACTATAATTACATTTTAAATTATTTCCTTAGATTTCTTCAGTTCTTAAGCAATAAAGTTTAATCAAATGTAGAACAAAATCTTCAAATTACAAACAAAAACAGTGTTCCAACATAAATAGGCAGAGAACGAATAAAATTGAGGTCAACGCAATAATACTGCTTATTCCATTTATTTATTAAAGATCCCACAAGCACCGAGATCATTTGAGATATTTTAGCCTTTACAACACTCATTTATTTTATATTTTTTCTTATTTTAAGCTTTAGAACATTAAAGCTTACCATTCGGTAAATTAAGTACATCTTATACTAGTGAGTTTAGCTACGTGTTGATGTGATTTCCAAGAAGCTATTTCCTATATCGTATAAGCTGATATATGTTTTTACCCTATTGAAAACTTTATTGTTCTTTGTTAATTACATTATATTTTTTCTTTATTTCAGATAGTTTTTCTAAAGGTCTGAAGTTATTGTAGTCTGATTTGCCACAACTTTTGTGTATAGGTTTGGTTGGGATTAATGCTCTTAGTATATTAAATATTTCTTGTTTACTTACATATTCTGTATGTATTAAGTTTTGAATGATTTTCGCACTTTTAAGTTTAGAGTTATTATTAAGTACGGATGAACAATATTAGCAACATTGGATTAAAGTTTTTTTTTCATTTTAAAGATTTTAATATTGTATCGTTATTATTTTAAATATTGTTTATTAATTGCCATGTTTTTCTACTGTTATTTCGATTTTCTACAAATTGCTTATTTGTCGAGCTTTCATGCTTACGTCGTTTATGCTTTCGGCAAACCGCAGGTATCCAAAGGGTTGATGGGTTGTCCCAGGTCATTCGTTAAGATTCAATCTTTAAGTAACACAAAAAAAGTATTACCTGCAATAAAAGTTATTTTTTTGCTTTTACAAACAAGATTTTGGTAATAGTTAACCGTCTTGTGGTATATCAATTTTAATAAACAATTTTAGTTTTTTCGTGGACATTTTATCTGGGCAGAATGAATAAATAAAAACAACAGGACACCAATTAACTGATTATAGGAATACTCTAACATTTGTTGAACAAAATTGTTGTTATAGGGGAGCGCGATTCAACAATTGAATATGTGCGCTTTACAATAAATTTCAAATTTCCCCCCATCAATGGTAAGGAATTTGAAACACTTATTTATGAAAGGAAGAAAACAAGCTCCGTTTAACTAGCAGCAAACTCCAATACTGCAAATTTCATAAACCAAGCACCAGGACCATCTTGAGTACAAAAAAGTTAGCATTTGTGAGGAAGGCTACCAGCCTAACACAAATTCAGTATGAACCTACCTACGATAATAGAGCAACAGCAAGCAGCAATTGCCGAGTTGGGGATGGCGATTGTTTAGTGAAAAGGGCTCAAATGGAAAGAAGAACGGTGGAGTTCTACAGCAAAAAATTGAAGGAGGTGGAATCACTTTTGGCGAAGATCGACCGCAATGAAAGCAAAATACTAGCGGATCTTGCAGCAGAGTCATAAATCATTGGAGTAACGTGTACCAAATCATTGGAGAAGAATATAGAGTTGCAATAGAGCACATCAGGGCAGACATCAAAAAAAGGCGAAGAACAAAAGCCTCAGAAACATAAATCATATCAGTATACCAACAATTTCCAAACCCTCAGTTAAAATGAGATTATTTGAAGTGGCAGACGTTTACTGACATTTTTGGGAAAATGATCAACGACCAGGCATTGCCACTAGTGCAGAAAATGTTGTATCTCCAGGCCAATGTGACTGGATGGAGAATTTCATTAAATCTTTGAGGAATCGGTACGAATTATTTGAAGTAGTCAACGGGATTCAGGAGAGTAGACCAACAGCGTTAGTTGCTTCCACAACGACACGTATATGTCACATGTGCAAAGGTTATCAACCCTTTATTACTGCAAG